CCCCCCCCCCCCCCCCCCCCGCTTGGGTAGTGGTATATGAGGAGTTTTAGGGAGTCTATAGTTCCTCTACTTTCTCCCCCCTTCCTCCTAACTCATTCAAACAGATAACACAATGCCATCACTTCCCCTTCTCCCCACAAATCTTCAAACGAAACAAGGGCATAGGCTTTTAGCCGAGGAAAGTTATGCACCGGGAGAAAAAAAGAAGCGCATTACATGAAGAAAATACTTGCTGAAAGAAAAGTAGATAACCCTGTTGAAGTCATCATACCTGGAAGGCATAGTGAATACCTAAAGAACTGGAGCTATTATTTTCAATTTCATACATCCTTATCCGTATGACCTCATCTCCTGACTATGTTTCTGTAATCTGAATTACTTCTGCATACATTCCCAGGGATCTGATATTGCAAAAGGTGATATAGTATTGAAATCTGGGGGTCGTTTGGGGCCTCCAGAAATTGGTTTACTTGCCACAGTTGGTGTGATAACGGTGAAGGTATCTGTTTTTCTTTTCATTTTTTCAAGTCACCATAACTCTTGATCTTCCCCCTAATTTCCTTTAGAGATTCAACATACTTCTTTTACATGCTGAAGACATTTCTTGATGCTGTTTTGGATTTTAGGTGTATCCTATCCCAACAATTGCTGTCCTCTCAACAGGTGACGAACTTGTAGAGCCAACTGTTGGATGCTTAGCCCGGGGTCAGGTGGGAGAACTCTTATATCTTCCTTAAAACTGCTTGCATTGGGGTCACTGTGGTGTGCTAGACTGCTAGGCTGCTATTGATCAATCTATGGTTGAAGTCTGAATAATTTAATTTTGCCAGATTTTTGTAGTATTATGCCATGTATATTCACATGAAAGTTCTGTTTGAAACTTTAGTGCATTTTGATATCCTCGAGCAAGTTACTTTCTTGAAATGTTCAAATGCTTTTAACACCCCCCCCCCCTCCAGTTCCTCTCTAATTTTTATCATCTGGTTCATTTCTTCCTAGATGTCAAAGTTATACGGAGTATATCGTAAGGGTGTTTAGAACTGTTTGCATATGTTGCTGGGATGAAAAAAATAGTAAACATTAAGAAGAACTTATCTAGAAGTGTTATGTTGATTTGATAAAAAAGGTTGACTAGATACTACTCATGCACTCTCGCTTTTGCAGATAAGGGACTCCAACCGTGCAATGATCCTAGCTGCCGCGACTGAGCAGCAGTGCAGAGTTGTTGATCTTGGTATAGCTTGTGATGATGAACAAGAGATCGAAAAAACTTTAGACAGTGCCTTCTCTTCTGGAATCAATATTCTTCTAACATCTGGAGGTGTTTCAATGGGAGACAGGGATTTTGTGAAGCCTTTACTTGAAAAGAAGGGGAGGTTATACTTTCAGAAGGTAATGCAAGAAATGCTAACCTCCCTTACTCCTCACATGTATGGTTATTAGCACCTGACTACCATTTCAAGTTTGCAATGCTACAAAACTAGTTACTCATAATGAGTCTTGATGTCATTGGCCCAATGTTCAGGTACACATGAAGCCTGGAAAACCTCTTGTATTTGCCGAAATTCTTCCTAGATCAGCTGACAACACATCCAATACGATTTTGGCATTTGGTTTACCTGGAAACCCAGTGAGCTGCTTGGTCTGTTTCCATCTTTTTGTGGTGCCTGCTATTAGACATCTTTCTGGATGGACACACCCTCATCTTCCAAGGTTTCCTAATATTTATCAAAAGGCCTTTCTCTCTTCTAAATTTATAGTTTTGTTTTTTTTTACATGAGGCATTTCTAATGAAATTTCTTTAATATAATTTGTAGAGTACAAACTCGGCTCAAACAGTCAATAAAGCCAGATCCCGTACGTCCCGAATTCCATCGTGCTATTATCACATGGCAGTCAAATGATGGATCTGGCCTTCCTGGGTGAGGCAATTTGTGTGCATGTGTTTTGTGTTATTCATTTTTGCTTTGAACTTCCAATTAGTGCACGAGTGTTATCCCCTTGCTTGCTTAATTCTCTCACATGTATGCATGTATGTATGTATATATATATGTATGTATGTATGTATTTTGTATGTATGTACGGGTGTTTGTGTGTGATATTTACTGATACTCACTAGCACTTATTAGCATCCAGTGATGGTAAACTGTGTCTCGTGTGTATAATGAATCTTCTTTAGTATGCTGTACCTGGTTATAAAACTATTATCATCGAGATTTGATTTGAAAGATCCATTTATCACATTGTTTTTAAGATTCATACACATGTTAAAAGTTTAATAGACTTCTATCGAACTTGGATTTTGCAGTATTTTCTGCAGGTACGTTTCTGTAGTTTGTTAGGTGTTGGAGCTATTCTTATGTGATGAGCCAATATGGAACAAGTTAGAATATGTAGTATATTGTGTTGTAAGAGATGCATAATTACTTGTTCAGCTTATATTTCTCAATGATTTTCAGGTTTGTTGCCGAGAGCACTGGTCAGCAAGGAAGTAGTCGACTTTTAAGTATAAAGTCAGCAAATGCATTATTGGAAGTGCCTGCATCCAGCTGTACAGTTCCTGCTGGTGCTTCTGTGGCTGCAATCATTATTTCAGACACAAGTTCTCTCTCAAGTTATAGAAGCCAGCAATCAGCACAGTCCTACCATTCAGAGTCAGGGTATAGGCCACTAGAAGTGAATGCTTGTGATCCTCAACCTTCTGGATTCAAAGTAGCTATTCTCACAGTTAGTGATACTGTTGCGGCTGGAAAAGGACCTGATAGGAGGTATTGGGATGCCATTTATTTTCTATTGTTAAATATTTCTCCGGGGCCACTTAGGTAGAGCTTATCTTTGCTGAACTAAATGGTATTGAACTGAACTGAACTTTTAGTCGTTATAGATACTAAATTGAACTGAACTTATAGGTACTGAACTGAACTTATATATACTAAATTGAACTGCTGTCTATCTTGTCTTAATGGCTTTGCAGTATTTAAATATGGTTCTCTACTTCTCTGTGAGCTTAATGCTTCTTCATTAGATAGATAAGATGTAATAGCAACTGAGAATGTTTGGTTCACGGTTCACCTCAGTTTTTGGTTAAATCTGATATTTGGGCATTGAGATACACCTTTTAGGATTGTTATTCCAAAAGGGTCACATTAACGATGCAAGAGAAAATTGCAATGCTGATATTACTCCTTGGCTAAGAGGAACTTGTGGGTAATGCATTCTTTGCTACAGGCATACTGTTTTTCTCCTTAGTGTGATTTGCCTAAAATATTATGGGGACGATGTGTTCACATATATTTGTTTTAACAAATGAAACAAATGGATTAACTAAAAACAATATTTACTCTCTCCATCCCATAAAAAGTCCACTATGGTGAGTGTACAATTTTTAAATTTTAAAAAGGTACAACCTTTAGAAAGCACTAAACATACCTATATTCTTAAACAACTTGAGAAACATGACTCATTTTATGGGACAAAACCAAGTTCGGAAATCTGACTCTTTTTATGGAACAAAGGGAGTATTAGCATGGCCTTTTCATGAGAATGGCATACCACACAAGTCGGAAGAGGATCCAATGATCGAGTATCAACCAATTCCTAAAAGGAAGTGTTTCAAGTACCTTAAATCATTCCCTTACTCTTCTTCCTCTTGAGTCTTGAGCCAAGGGACCAAAAAACAACCTCTTTGTTGGGGTAAGGTCTGCATGCATCCATTCTCCCATACTCCATTGTTGGACCTAACCAAGTTTTGTTGTTGGCTTTTGTTGCTTTCCGTGGGAATTACTTTCTATGGAATCACTTTCCATTACTTGGTCAAAATGTGGATTTTTTTTATTTCCACATCCCCATGGGAATCACTTTCCTTCACTAAGAGGAAAATAATCCCTTTTGACTACTCATTCACTTTGGTAAAGTTAGGTGACAAGCAATAGAATCATTTTCCTCCCAGTTATTTCCTATGGAAGCTAATTACTTTCCCTCTACCAACAAACAACAACCTATCCAAGGAAGCCTCGCGAGTGGGTTCTTGGGGTGCGTATTTGCAGACCTTTCCCTCGTACCAAATCCATCCTTAATATCAATTTGTCATATCTCTTTTAATATTGGTATGAGGTTGGATCTTTCAGTCTGGATCAAACAAAACATTTGGATTTGATTTTAGCCTTGATGCATCTAAAAGTGTGATCTTTATTTTCTTCTTTTGGAAACTGCCTGTTCAGGGTTGTTGTCAGTTTTATGTTTAGTTTTTTTCAAACTAAGTATCGGAGTTTGAAAGCCAGACCAAACTTTGTTGGCAGTTTTCAAAATTAGCATGATTTGTATAGCATATACGGAGTACAAAACAATTGATATGTTGTTGGTACACCATATACAGTTATACCCTTACATGTATCTAAGACTGTTGATTTCACCTGCACAAGATGTGCGACCGTATTACAATCTGAGTGAATGGATGGTTACCAGAAAAACAAGGATGCTAAACGGATGATGGATGGATTGGATCGGATCACCCAACCCATCATTTGATCCATCCATCCATACATTTATATTCAAATAAATAATTAAATATATGAGTTAATAAATGTATTTGTTTGGTTGTGATATATCTGGGCCCGAGCCTATCATACCCTCCCCCATATCCCACACCCTCATGGAAACCAAAGGACTTAGGTTCAAACATTATGATCCATTTTAGTGAGAATTCAATGTCCTTTAGCCCGAAAGGCCAAAATAACTTTCGTTTTTGACCTAAGGGTTCCGCTGGTCAACCCCCTTTTCCGTCCAACCCAACCCCAAACATCCAAAAGTATTTTATTTCCTTTTGATATCCAAATAAAGTCTCTTCTATCTATTTTAATCCCTGGTCACAATAGGAAACCAAAACAGCCCCATTCATCTTCCAACATCCACCCAACATGGTCCCTACTATGTTCCCTAGTACAACCCACTAAACAACCATAAAACTCCAGGAGAAACATGGTACTTTCTTAACCCTTTAACCACTAAATAAATCCTCATATATGCAGCCAGAGTACCACACATTATCCTTTCCCATTGTCCCCCTAGTTGGCTGAATACATCCCCCAAAATCAGCCCAAAAGAAGGCCATTCATTCCCCCTGGTTTGCTTTTCATTGGAGGCCCTACAACCACACCCATCCCTGATTTTATTCCAATAAAAGGACCTCAAAACATGGCTGAT